CGGCTGGTAAGTGAAATGGGTAGTTGCAGCCTAAATTCAACTGAGCAAGCGATGTTGCATGTTTCAAAATGTATTGGTAAAGTAATTGATGAGTAATTGAAGCTTTTTGCGTTAATTTTTTTTAACATATTATATTACTCATTTTTTTTTTTATCTGTCTTATCTTTTAGCCATTTCACCGAATAGCAACTTATTTGCACGAAAAGCGCTCGAAAATGTCAGAGTTTGAAAATTAAATAAAATATTTATGCATATAATAAATTTTTGTAAATTTATAGAATGCAGGGTTGCATTGTAGTGATGTGGTATCATTACTAAGTATTTATTTTGACGTTTTGGAACTCACCCAAACTGCATATGAATAATAAAATTATAGTAAGCCAATAAAATTTAGTTTTTTTTTTGGAAACTAATATTAATCATAAAGCATCTAATTTGTGGTGTGCGTCTGGATGTTTTACCAGCAAATGAGAAAAACCTATTCTAAACCGCCTCCGAAGTGCCAATGTATTTTTATGACAATTTTTTGTTTCATGTCAAAAATACCTTCGAAACCTGACCTCTCGAATGTTAGTACGTAATGCTAGCCATTCGGTTTTTGCGGCTGCGATATATTGTACATATACCATACAAATGTATGAATAAAAATTAGCTCATTACAATACAAAAAGGAATGTTGAATTTGTTGTTTTGGAGTAAAAAGTACTTTACTGGTTTTTTTTTTAAACAATTGACCAATAGTTTCTTAAAAGCTTAGAATTAAAATGTTAATAAATGATATATTCATTTAATTAAGCGCTATGTGGTGTATAATTGTAAAAAAGCTTAGAGTGTTTACTTAAATTAATAGCTTGTGATATTTGTTAATAATTTAATTTGTTGATGTTTTCACAATATTCACGAGTTTCCGTGAAAATAAATGTATGTGTGAGTGTATAAGTTTTGAAAATACCTTAAAAAGCCAAATTTATGCCTTTTTGTAATTTTTGTATATATGTAGGTATATTCAGCATTTGTACATTCAGCTTAATAAAAATGATCTAAGATTTCAATGAAAAAATTTATAAGTTTGAGGAAACTCTGTGAATGTACATTTGTACGTACATACTGTTACATATGCATTATTTGTTTCAAATATACTTATGCAAAATGAAGATCCAAAGTATGAAAGCTCATAATACAGTTATGTCATTTTTTTGGCCCATTTAAGATCATCATCGCGTGCCTTACAGCCTGTTGAATACTCGATAACTGCTTCCAAAGTTGGCCAAAATCTAAAATAAAAAATAAAACGCTTTAAAATATGTGCTTTTGTTTATAAAGCATGATTCTTTTCGAAATTGTCTCGAAAAGTCCCGGAGTCATGAATCATATGTTTTAACTTTTTTGTTTTGCTTCTTTTTTTTCTTTGATATTTGTATTTATTAATTATTATCAAATCTTAAAACTCTAAATTAGAACTATGTGTTGGTCTTTATATCGACTTGTTGCGTAGGCCAAGTTGTTAGCACTGAAAAAGAATTATGCTGCAACTACCTATCTTACATACCTGCCGCTTGCCCATGCCGTTAGTAACGGTTGTCTCACAGCAACCAATGTCGATTTGATTTTTTCCGTAAAACCGGCTGGGTTCATTACTCGTTCCTTTACAAGGTTGCCAGTATAGCCTTTCTTAAAGTAACATTAAATAATCGAAGATAATGCGTAGTTTTTTTCAAAAGAAATGAAAATTAACTTCGCAAATAATTATTTGATACCATAAACATATAAATTATGAAATTCGTTGACGAAAATTATAAATTTGTTCAAAAGTGTGCAAATACACTGGCGGCTGGCCACATTTCGCCGCTCTCAGTAACGGAAGGAATGTAAGATGGGTAGTTGCAGCAATACTCGTATATTACTCTGACGTTTAAAAAATGTATT